ATAGATTAAAAGGCAAAATACTGGAAAACAACAATGCTGTGGGAAACAATGGCTGGATCTCAGTAGAGATACAAAAATGATAAGCAACAGCTAAAAAGTAAACGTAAGTAAACAGCCAGAAATAGAACCAGAGCTTTCGGACAACACTAGTCCTTCCTCAATATAATATATATATATATTTAACTTCTTTAGATCGGTCGGGTCGCCAGCAGCACTTTCTCAAGTTTGAGGAGGAATGATGCATTGCATGATGCAGTTGCCCTCTTTACCCAGCTACAGCGCATAATGTGCTCGCGTTCGAGAATGATTCCGGAACGACACAGTCTACATCTGCAATCTGTGGTAAGTATTTATAATTGAGCAACGGCAAAATTCAGAAACATTTAATTATGTTCAAAGACAAAATTATTATATTTTAAAATTAAGGCAAAATTATTGGAAATAGATTTAGTATAATTTTACTACTGAATAAAGACGGTGGCTTCACCATAAACAAGAGAATATAAAAGGATCCGAAAATACATTTGGGACCTGAACATTTTAGGTGGTCTCTTGGTGAATTTTGGTCTCCACATGAATTTGCATTCCATTACATTTTCTTGATTATTGATGTAATCTTCTAAAAACTTTCTCTATGGTTTATTCGGAATATGCTGTAAATACTCGGATCAGGATATTCCAATTTTGGTTTTATGAGATTGATTTTGTGGGGACAGTACGCATTGGGTAACTATTGCTGTGAAACACGAAGAAACTGTAGCGACGTTATGGAATTCAGGTTTCAAAGGAAACGCCAATTTATCGAAATGTACTGCAGTATACATATCATGGTACAATTTACTAATAACTGTACAATGGAGGAAAATACAGGCTTAATAAATAATTGTTTAAAAAAGGACACTACACATTTCAAACCTCTCTTATTGTGTATTTGGTAGCTCTGAAAAGAGCCGTATTGTTTGAGAAGATCGATTCCCATTGACGTATCGTGATGGCTTAATAATTTTGAAAAATAACTGTACTTCCATAAAGGCAATGGTATAACCCGGGTCTTAGTTTTGTAGATTATCCGATGAATAGTATTACCAGTATAATTATTAGACATTGTTAACCATGACAAAAAAGGTGCGAGGTAGCTGTGTTTTTTTTAATATGACGATATACTTAATGGGCATTTCGTTGGCCATATTTTATATTATGTTCAGATTAAATATGAAACACGCACATGCAGATTTGCACACAAATCTCTTTTGAACTTTTGGTGGCTCTGAAAAGAGCCGTTTGGTTTGAAATTGCGCCGTCATGTTTACTTGGAGCTGGTGTACTTGGTGACAGCCTTGGTGCCTTCAGACACGGCATGTTTAGCCAATTCACCAGGCAGCAAGAGACGAACAGCGGTCTGGACTTCCCTGCTGGTGATGGTGGATTTCTTGTTGTAGTGAGCAAGACGAGATGCTTCACCGGCAATACGTTCGAAGATGTCGTTGACGAAGCTGTTCATGATTCCCATGGCTCTGCTCGAGATACCAGTGTCTGGGTGAACTTGCTTCAACACCTTGTAGATGTAGATGCTATAACTTTCCTTTCGCTTACGTTTTCTTTTCTTATCGCCAGTTCTTACGGCTTTAGCCTTACCGGCCTTTTTAGCAGCTTTTCCTGAAGTTTTTGGAGGCATGTTTCTAGACAGTCTACGAATAGATAAGTGATAACTCCTTAAACGAGCACGGTATTTATAGAGTGAGATATGCAAAGTAGGACTTCACGTTACCTAGGCTACTACTCAAGGCTTTCTATTGGATATTAAAAACGCGCGATTTATTGAATTGAAAATAATTATTCCAAGCGGGCTGTATGAACGGTATAGCAGGCCTTATCAAAGAACCTATTATTCTAGCTCCTATTTTGCAACGCCTAACATTGTTTTATTCAACAATATAGCTAGCACACGCCCAAAATTAGTTGTACATGGCAATGAAATTTCCAAGGTGAGTAAAAACGTAATACTGTACAGTATGGCCGAATAATAAAACCAATGCATGTAAATAGTAGGCCTATATGTATTCAGTATACTAATTTGATTATAGTCTTCTGCTATCTTCACAATGATTAATTTTCTATAAACATAAACTGTATGTAGTTAAAGATGTATTGTCCCGTGTTAAATACCAAAAAAAAACATCATAAAAAATATTTTGTTGAAATTGACTCTCCTATTTTGAAGTAACTTAAAAGTTATCAACTTGAAAATAGAAATTATTGTATTTAAAAAGTGTCTGCCCATCAGTTTACAGCGAAAATGATAGAAACACTTCCAGTCACTGGAAGTGTTTAATTATTTTTATTATAATTCTTTGGTTTAAAAATCAGGGTACACATTTTTAAAATTTAATAATTTTTTTATGTAAAAGTTAATAATTTGTATGCTATTGCAATATGAGCATGTTTATTTCAAAATTATTTTTTATGATTTTGACATTAGCAAGGAACAATACATCTTTAACAAGTTCCACGTTTGTCAAGGCTACACCTTTTGTGTATATCAGTTATTCACCGTATCCTTTATGTTACTTTTTAAAAATGTATTGCCATGGCTATGAAAGTGTCGAAATAAATATGCTGTCTTGGCAACGATTATTAAGTGCTTGAGCCATGTGGAGTTCAGTTATTCAGCGTACCTTTTTTGTACATGAGTTTTATTAATACCTAATCGTTTTAACTTTAATATTATGTTTGTATATATATATATATATATATATATATATATATATATATAT